TAAGTACTCCAAATTAAATGATATATTATTTTAAATGCAATCATCAGCCTTATTTTAATGATTGCTTCTCTCTATAACTTAACCTGAATTCAGGAAGTAAAAAGTTCTCAAATATGGAGGGAGTAGCCTGTACTCAAGAAAATAAACTCAAATCCTTTTACTTGTTCAGTTCAGATTGAATTTATGTTGTACATATAGCTTTAATTCTATTTCCTGTAGTTAAGCTTGTGATAAAATATTATAAAAATATAGAGATATAATCTTTTGCTATTTGTTCCCCTTCCTTCCTTCCTTCCTTCCTTCCTTCCTTCCTTCCTTCCTTCCTTCCTTCCTCCCTTCTTCCCTTCCTTCCTTCTTTCTGTTCATCCACCTGACCACCTATATATCTGTGTACCAATTTATCTATTATCTACCTCTCCATCCATCTATTTTTCTATCTATCCATTTATCTATCCACTCATGTATGTATGCATGTATGTAGTATCTACATACCTCTATCACCTATATAATTTTAAATAGTAGGTAGACCAGCTTCTCCATGACCCCAAAGAAATGCCTAGTTATCCTTATTGAGTTTTAAAAAAGAACAGGTAATCTACAGGGTCAGGCACAAATAACACCCCTTTTTTATTACAAAATCTTATATCACAAAACCATAAGCATGTAATTCTGTAACATCACACTCAAGCATACCATATGACATTTTAGGTGAAAATTTCAAATTAAAACTATAAATTATTACCTTACCAACCACACTCAGGCAGGCCTTACTTCTGCCAGACCCTGTATTTCTCTCTTAAATAGAACCTTTTTTTCATAGGTTATAAGAATTAAATAATGTTGTAGCATGTAGCTTATGACTACTACCTGAATTTCACCAGTCATGACCTCCTATCTAGATTTACCTAGATAGTCTAATGAGTCCTTCCCAAGGTCCTAAAGCACAGACATGTATATGTATGTTACATATGTATATATGTCAATGTACAGATGTATGCATGGGTATACATTTATATTTCAAATGCAAAGAGCAAGATAATTGACTTTATGACATTTTAATTAGATGTCTATTAAGTTGAGCTACATGAAATTGCCATTATTCCACCATGTTTGTCATACAAAATAGCAATTTCATATGGTACAGTCTAATACTGCCAATAAAACTTTAAGGTCTTAAGACACAAACAAACAAAGTGGGGTAGAAGGTAAAAAAAGCCCAGTTGCTTCTTGTCTCTTTTGCTCAGCCTAGGGTCATCTGTGCTGCCAGGGCCATATGTATAAAGCTGCTAACTTTCTGGGATTTTAAAGGAAATACATCTGACATGAGAGAAGAAATGGTCCCTGGTAACTGTCAGTACAATGGGATCATTATAAACTTTCTGAGTGAACAGCTTTGTATTACTTTCTTCTTGAGCTGGTCTGCATCTAATTCCCTTCTGTCTTAATGTGGAAGAATATTCTCATGCACTGGTTGTTAGATGTTAGAATGTCAGCAAGCAGGACAAGCGTGACATATGTCTGCCTTTCTGGAGAGATAACATTTTCATCCAAGCTATGTACATACTATATGTATTTCCCCAAATATTTGTGGCATCATTCATTGAACAGTGAATCTCCATCGTCCTCCCCACCTTCTAGTTTGGGCACCCAAAGATGCAACAACCATCAAGTCATTATACACAAGAAAACCAAGAGCCAATCCATAAAGAGAAGCCTGCCCCCAGGCTTAATTCAAGCAAGCCATTCATTGAGCTAATGTGATGATGGACCTGTCAAATCCAGAACGCATCACGGACACATCAGCAACACCAGGTGGCATGCAATGACCAGATGACCATCGGCCCCACTGCCATGCTTTCATTGGTTCAAGCTCAGAAAACAACCTCCTTTGAGAGTTTGGACAGTTGGCTTTTCATAAATTAAAGTGAGATTAAAAATAAAGATTTGGTGAGGTCAAGTGCTTACCAAATGTTTCCTAAATGCCAAGAAAAGATGTTTACCTACTTCCATAAATACATGAAAAGAGACTATAAAATTACCTAATCAGTCAGGTCTTTTGGGAAAATATCTGCCCACACCAGATGGTCTTCATTCTGGACATCAGCATTCAGGAGCTCTCAGAGTGCTCCCAGATAATCAGCATGGGATAATTTAACCATGAAAAGGATGGGCAAAGAGTTCCAAGTTGCCCATCAAGGACCTTCTGGGCAATCCTGAGGTTATCTGAGTTCAACATTTCCCAAAGGTCTCTGAATCCCTAATTTGATGAGATCTTAATTTGTGCTGATAAAAGGTAAAATTCTACCAACTGGGGACACCAAACTTCTGTTACTTTCAAGACATGTGAAGAGTGGTTCATTATGACAGGGGATATTGCAGTTTCTCTTTTGATCAGGTTGACAACCATGGATGTCACCTAAATATTCTCTCTGCTGCTGATTTCACTTCCTATGTTGGAAGAGTGTCTTTGAGTGAAGAAGTTTTTCTTTTTATCCTTCTGAGAACAAAAACTAAGAATTTAACACTATTGGATATTACACTGTTATTATGTAAAAAATAAAATATTACACAACTGCCTTAGGATAAATTCTAGATATTTGGCATCTTCAATCTAAATTCAAAAGCTATTCTGATAATTTCACCTTTTCCCTCAAATATGTGTCTTCTAAAAAAAAAGGGTCTTCCTTCTTTTTTCTGCTTCCTAAAAGTAAAAGGAAGGACCATCTTTTCATATATATACTTTATAAATCAAACCAGAAATATCATTTTAAAGATTGCTTTCTGGTAATTTATCTATTACTGCACTTACCTCAATGCAATATTTCCATATGTGGCAAGTATCTTGTTTATAATAAAGTTATATAGGGCTGATAATCAATTCCCATAGCAACCAAGAAAACCTAATGTACACATTTCTTTAATAAACAGCCAGAGGCCAATTACATGGACAAGAGTATATTTAGTTGGTTTCTTTAGTGTGAAACTATCACACTCAAGTGGGAATTGCAGTTATTCAAAATTTAACAATACAAAAATAAGGGCAATTTTTCAGTAGGACATGTTGCCAATTAAAATCTTAATATTATTAAAATAATATATTTTATACATATATTTGCATATATGGTACCCCTAAATGTAACAAACTTTTAACTTAATTTTTAGATGAATGCAAATGGAGATGGCCAGGCCCTCAAGTAACTCTATCTAAGAATAGGGTTAAACATTATTCGTTTTTTTTCCAAATGTCTATATTGGTCTGATTGAAGAAAGCAATTTAAATTATATTTTTGTAATTAACCTCGTTTTTACATTGGGGGTAGATATACTTATACTGAGAAGCAACATATAAATCCAAAAAATATATCTGCTTAAGATTCTCATAATTATATAGCAGGCTAAAGTTACTATGATTAAAAATATACACAAAGTGGATATTTGAGAATTTAGCATCTAGACATATTTTCATAAAATAATTAAGGATTATTGATAAACCACATTACAATGAATACTTTGTGAATTTTCTGTGAGCAGGATTTAGTAGGATTCGCCTTTTCATTTGTAGAATGATCTTGAGTATTTCAAGATGGTCAAAGTGTACTGAAAATAGAAACTCACATATTTCATACCTTCACAGTAGATTATTGGGTAACTGCATAACTTATATATTTAGAACTGAATCTTGACAATTATTTGGATTTCTTTAGAGGCTCCCTCCAGCCTTGAGACCTTGTTATAGTTGTTTATAAGAATATAGTAATAATACCTGCATACAACCAAACAGTAGCTCTCAGCTCTATCTTGCCAAAAAGCCATTTATTACAAGTTTACTCATGGAGTTTTCAAAGTGCAGCTTTTAGGGTTCAGCAATGTATTTTGCTTTATTATACTTGAGAAGAATTCTGTAGCTACAGTGAGCTAACAACACATCTTGTGAGAAATGGAATGGAACTGCAGAGAAAGCATACCACAGCAAACCAAGATAGGAACTACGTCACAACAGGCCAGGTAGGAGGACCAGTGGCTGCTGACACTTCTCATTCAGGATCCAACACATCTCCTTGCTTACCTGTCTGACCCAGCATGCCTCAGCCACACATGCAAATTGTTATCATCACTGCTTTATTCATGAAACATAGTTTTAAATTATAATTCATTATCCAAAATAAGCACCCTCAATGACATTTGAGCATGCAGAGCATCTGAACATTCACATTTATGTCCTCAGAAAACAGAGCCAACGAGTTGCATTCAGTATGGAAACACACACTTTCTTTTTTCAAGGCACCTAAACAGAAATAGCTGTGGCTAGCCATTTCAGGAACCAAGTCATCTGTTAAGCCTGGGCAATTGTTCATAGAGCTCTTCCAACCACCCACCCCAACCCCCGCCATCCACTCTGACTTCTGCATTGCTTAAACCCACTCTGTCCCTTCCACTGCCAGTCTTAATGTGTGATGTGCCTTACAAATAGAAGTTGGCTTATCTTAGAAGGATCAAAATTGGACATTGTGAAAAGAACAAATCTCCTTGGGAATGCCAGATACACCTTCTCATTCCTTTATTATGGATTAAAAAGTGATTTCCTGGTTGTAAAAAGTTGTAAAAAGGGGAAATGGGGTCCTTGAATTCAAGGTAAACCTGCAGGATCATCTTCTAGCTTTCTTCCTATGAGTTGGATGAGACCACGGTCTTCCATAAAAGACCACAAGTGTCCATGTGTACATGCAAGGTGTGCTGTCACAAGGATTAAGAGATCTACACACAAACAAAAACATATCATTTTCTTTGTTTCTTAGCAAAGAGGGCAACAGGTTAGAACAAACTGGACATATGTGTTACCCTTTCTCTGCATGACCTTCTTTTCAGTGTCACCATGGGAGCTAACTTCGTGGATGCTGCCTATGTAGCTGCCATGCATTTACATCAAGAGTGGACAAGAATCTTGTCTCCCACCAGCTAATTTCCAAGTAGCTGTCAAGTGCAAAAAGGAAGACCCTTACCTGTCACTGTAGGCAGCTGCAGTGGCAGGGGTAGGCTGGGCGTAGCGGTATGCAGCATAGCCACCCTAAAACACAAGGAGACATGGAACTTAGGAATGCCAAGGAGCCAACTCAGGGACGCCTGATTGTGAGACCACATAAGTTACCCGAATCTAGCAATCTAAAGTGGAGGTTAATAAAAGCTTAGTATCAAAGAAGAAGTACAAAACACACCAGAGAGATAGGGGATTGAATACCAACCCCAGCTAGATATTAAAGGTTAGCAGGTGTAAGCATATTCCCAAGGGAGAAAGAACCCAGATCCCCTTTGAAGGTCACGTATCTAAGTATTAACAGTGATTGTCTTGGGGTGGGGAAAATTATGGGGAATTATTTAAACACTCGATACTTTGCTGAACTTTCCAGATTTTCAAAACTGATTACTCTTTACTTTTACTTATTAGCTATTAACTTACATTTTATTCAGTCTTTGATTACTCCCTTTAAAATCCAATACAGGTCAAGCTAATGTCTCATTTTTACATTTATTTATTTTTTAAAACCCTTACACTGAAAGTTTATTAGTAACTTCTTACATAATAGTTGTTTAACCAGGAAAGCAATTAAATAAAACTGTCTAGCTTTCTGCATCTTAAATTAATTATTTTAAAAAGAAATGGCAAATTCTTAAAAATTCTGTCTTTTTTGGCTAAAGATACCACACTGATTCAGATGGAGGATTTAGGGTGGAAAATATGATAAACTATTCCAATTTGTAAATAAAATCATTAAGAGAGGGAAGAATCTGAAAAAATAATTAACATTTAGTTGTATGTACCAGTAATTGCAGTTGTTCAATTAAGCAGAGGACAAGCAAATGGGCATATTTGAAAGGAATTGTGTTCAGTGGAGCATTGATTATCAAACTGTGAAAATAACAGAGCTTCTTGCTCAGCTGGCCAAAGCGATACATCAACCACTGTAGAATGATCTCAGCACAATTAACAAACAGGATCCAGTCTCCACTGATAACACAGGGACCATTCATGTTCTAATTAGAACTTAGAGTTCCATAGTCCTCTGAGGGAAAGGTTCTCACCTCCACTGAAAAGGGGCAATTCAAGACAGGCTACTGTGTCAGAGGGTACCTAATAGTGAAATCATGGGTGTGTCAGAGGGTATCTATGTATAGAACTGAGAATATAGGAGTTTTTTATATTTGGCTCCATATCCTTTAGGAAAAAATCAAGTAGTAGGATAGAAGATAGATGAATGGTGAAGCTCCAAAGCTTATCTTTCACAGTGTAGATTAAACTGCTCTCAGTAATTTATTTCTACCTTCTACCACCCACAGCTAACCTTCATAGTAAATTTGGCATCATATACACAGCAATTCTACAAAGCTAGTTTATCTTTAAACAAGTTTGCTCTTTGGATCAGTTCTGGGGAAGACATATCCAAGACATCCTGACAGATAATCAGTAATAATTTGGAGCCAGTTTTTGTTAAGTCTCCCTTGAAAAACAATGTGAAAGTTTTTTTTAAAAAGAGGTCTTAGCCAGACACCACCTGTTGTTCCAAACATCATGTTCTCTAATTAGGGATGGGGAAAACTCATTAAATGTGCCAAGGAGTTGTGAAACCAAAGCACTTGTCATACCAGTGACAAGCTCAGATACAGACTGATGGGCTGAAGAAAAAATAGGTCACCAGATTTCTGAAGCCATACTTTTCATCTGCTTGTCCATCTCCTTGGCTTCCTTGATGCATCCAGAAAGACACAGGTATGCAGGTATGTATAGTACAATTAATGAGGCAGGGATGAGCTGGGAAGTGGCTAGCTGACTAGCTAGGAGGCATTAGCTACAACCAGCTGAAAGCTTTGAGTGGAGAAAAGTTTTCTCTGCGTGCATGATTTCTGTCTCTTATGCCCAGAGTTTTTTTAAAAAAGAGATTACTGCCAAGATATTTGCATCAAGTGCCATGTCAATTAATCATGATTTGGTGACTGTGAATTTGGTCCCAGCAAAGACTTTTATCAATGTCCCACCTGCAAACCCTCTTTGTTTGAACTCCGTATGTCTCCCCCAACTTCTGCAGTAGTTTCATCAATTGAAATTCGTTAGCAAGCTTAATTAGTGGGAATAATTGTAGGAGTGCAAACAGAAGATAACTAAAATAAACCTCACTTTCTGTTAGGTCAATATTTATTGTATGAACTTAAAATGGACATGTGTACACCTGAGACCCATCCGAATAACAGATGTGCTCATCTATGCAGCTTTGAGAAGGACCCATCCTCTACATATTTGCATATGACTTGGCCATTTAGAGAATATAGGCATGTGTTTCCATGAAAGACAGGCATAAGGGGTCAATGCCCTGACACTTTTCTTTGTTAATTAGGAATTTGTTTATAAGCATTCCCAATTCAAGACTGAAGGCAACTGTTTGCTAAACTTTGTGGAGCTAATGGAAAGACTTTTTTCTTTGTTTGGTGATCTTCTTGCTGTCCAGTTGGTCACCTGGTGATGACAGAAATGTTCTCTATCTGTGCTGTCCAGTATGGTAGCCACTTGTCCTAAGAGACTATTGAGCACTTGAAATATGGCTGGCACACAAAATAAAATTTTAATTTATTGAATTTGAGTGCATTTGAATTTAAATGTAAATAGCCAGATGGGGCTGGTGGCTACCCGACTGGAGTCCAGGTCTATGTGACCCCTGAAGTCAGTAACAATTGGGTGGAAAAGGGTGAGGGGCCTAATACCTACATATCTATATAAAGGAGGGCCACCCAAAACCCAGATTTTTTAAATAAAAAATTGTGTGTTTATTCTTACATGTATAAACTTCAGTCACCTTCATCACCTTTGACAACTTTTCCACTTGATGCAATACACCTATTAAGGCATTATTTCCACTGCTCAAATTTTGATCTGTTTTAGTGTTTCTGCAGTTTTTTTGTTTCTCCCCTTCTTTGAGGACTTTTTCATCAGGGGAAACAGAAAAGGTGGCTCAGGACAAGATTGGGTGAATAGGGAGGGTGGGGCACAGGGGTCATGACAGTTTGGGTCAAAAACTGCTGAACACCTATAGTGTAGGCAGGTGTACTTGTAAATTACCCATCAGGAAATAAGGAAATGCTTTGAAGGAGTCTTCAAAAAAATTCACCGAGGCCAAACGCAGCCTCTCACAACACCAGCTGCTACACTGATATAGATGGGTTCCTAGAACACTCACATAGAGGGGGAAGCCTGTACTTGAAGGGGCCTGCCCTCCAGAAGATAATTGGTTTTTTCAAGCCCCACCTCTTATATTGAATTCTTCTTGTGTTATTTGTCTTCTGTTTGAAAGCCATATTAGGGGAATAACAGAGTTGTGTATTTAACTCAGTGTATGTGTGCATATACTGGAAAATGATAAAAAAAATACAAATTGCTTTAATTTGCCTGTCTAACAGGTAATTGTAATCAATTTTATTGCTCCATATTTTGCAGTTCCCTGAGCATAGCCAGAGGTTCTGCAAGCTTCTGTAGTAATGTCTGAAAAAGGAGTGCTCACTTCTATTGGCTGTAATCAAACCATGTCCATGTTAAAACCAGTCCTTCCAGCTCTTGGGGACAAAAATGCATCCTTGACAGATAGATTTTTCCCACTCCCAAACCAAGGGAAAGGGTTGACCAGCAGCATGACATAGTAGTTCTATACTCCCTACTCATATTTTACATGACAAGCAGCAGCAAAATATAAATGTGACCTTATATGAAATACAAATTTAACATGGCCATCATGAATTGCTCCCTCAGCCTTGCCACCACCATGAGATGTGGTCACCTAAGGTACTGGCATGTCCGGGTCTGAAACATTTCCTATGTTAGTGAGACTCCTGGAGGTCTACTGGGAGAAGTTACTGATTAAGAATCTCTAATGATGTTCCAATAAAGCATTTTCAAAAGTGTGCTGCTGGGATACTAATAGCTGCAGGGAAAGGAAATGTACCTGGACCAGATAGAATTGGGAAATGCTGAATTAAAACAAAATGAAAGTGGTTACTCCATTTGTGGAACTTCCTATGGCAATACTGATGAGCACTGTAGATCTCCATTGCATTGCAAAGCATTGAATAGTTTTACAAAGGAAATTACCTTGTTAACTTTAGAACATGCTTCTGGAAGATATTCTAATATCCAAATTGTGAATTGCTTATGAAATAGGTGAAACCTGTGTGTGCTGGTGGGACAATAAGGTGGGTGGGGCTGTGTGTTTCCCTTTAGTAGAGTAGTAATGGGCTTGATCACAGATAGAGGTCCCATCCCCTCTGAGAATACTCAAGGAGCTCACTTTTTGCAAAACAGGTAGACTGGTATAATATAATTACCTCAATATTTTATTTATGAAAACATTTACAAGAACATTTGCAAAATAAAAACCTTAGATAAAAATCATTACTCTCTAATTTATCTGCATTAAACATTTAGCTCTTTTTGAAGTATGGCAAGTTTTCTTGAAATGTGAAAATAAAAGTTCATCTCAGGAATTTTAATTATTTTGTCCTCTCTTAGGTTCAAGTACCCCTTTTTTCATAGTGGAGTTCTTATTAAAATGATTAATTTTCACAGTAAAAAATGTACTTTCTTAATTGACTTAATACCAAATAAAAATGATAATTGCAGGTTATGGGGAAACCCATGTAATAAAACTCCCATGGATCATCCTAGTATTTTATTCTCTCATTTTAATTGACAGTTTTAATGTTGGCATTAAACCAAATTTGAAGACTCAACCAACTACACTCCAACAGAGGTGTGGCTCCTTTTCTTCCTGCACATTTGTTCATTTGGGGGTTGCCTCGGGAGTGAGGAGCAGGTTTGGAAGCTATAGCAATAGGTGTACTAAATTTATAAGAATAGATTTATAAGAATCTACAATGAAGCCAGGAAAAGATATATTAGCTATGTTGACCCTCAATGCTAGATACATAAGAGGTTTTTTTCATTAAACATTCCAGTTGACTCCTAGAGCCAACCACAACTTTTCTTAGTCAGTTGGTTCAGTGAAACCCTAAAATTCTTTTTCACTAAATTTATTTTAATTGAATCCAGATGCATTTTAAGAAATTTACAGCCAAGCCAGACACCTATTTTGATACACTCATGATCTAGCAAAGAGGGGAGATTTGAGGATGATCATCTCTATTCTAGAAGAATTCACATCAAAACTGGAAAATTCAGTTAAGTCTTTCCTTTTTCTATGTTAGAGAACACCTCCCTCCCTGGAATGGTCTTGTTAGTAGGATTTCACAGCAAACCCACAACCAGAGTGATGAGTTTTTCCACCAGTCAGAATTTCATACCTGCAGCAATTTATTGCCATACACAGGCTCTTGATACACTACTCTATAAGGAAACAGAAATGTAATGTTTTCAATGCAAAAATGAAATAAATAAAAGAAAATGCATAAGTCAGACATAAATTCCAGAGCAATTCATTTACAAGTTTGCTTCTCTTCACTAAGACCTGGAGTAACCCACCCAACCAGAAGAGGAACCAGGCATTGCCAAACAATCTCAGTTACAAATTTCTGTAATTGAGAGTATCAGGAAAGGGGAGATGGGATCAGATACAGTCACTAATTTGTGTGATAACCTGTGTTTCACTTTAAAGAAGGAAAAAAGATACATTCATGGCTTCTTACTTTTCCAAGCATATCTGCAATGGTTCAAGCTAACCATTTTGAGATTTCTCTCTGGAACTCATGATTGGAATTCTCCAGAATACTTGAGGATTTAACCTTGGTGTCTAATTATTGAGGCAGTTAGGATGACAGTACAGTAGCAACCATAACTGTATCAGCACCTGTGTTTTTTAAATTTAATTTCAACTAACAACAGAAAGCACAATTTTCTTCTATGAAATAATGAAGTACATGGAAGTTATCAAATAGACATGACTAGAAAAATTCTGTGTGTGTGCATGCACATATGGGTATAGAAAACCTGCTGTTAATCATTAACATGTCATCACTTCATTCAAGTTAACACTGACAAGATCTCAAAAGAACCCAGGGTCAGACTCAAAGGCCATATGTGGATGTGAGAGTAATTAGTGGATGAGGCTGATCGTTTATGTGAGTGGTTCTAGTTTGAAGTGAAATATCAAGTTCTAGGGCAGACCTCAGGTAGACATTTGTGTTGCGACTGTTCAAGGCCAGACAGGTTCACGGAATTCGGGCAGATGGAAGAATATTCACAGAGCTGTTGGGATGTCTGACATGCATTTATTCAAGGGTGGGTGATCCATGCATGCTGCAAGCTGTGTGTCCCCCTGTATGCTCCCTGTGTGTCATACTGCATGTCTATTGGCATGTCTCCCAGCAGGGAGCCCCTAACCCCTTAAACACTAGAAGACAAAGCCAGTGGGATGCCAATAGATATTATGCAACAGAGCTTCATACTATGCATATGAGCCCACTCAAGGCTATGGGAACAGTGTATCAGACCCAGTCTCAAGGCTATGAAAACACTACTTATAAGGCCCATTCTTAAAGTTATGGGAAACTGCTTCCCTTACTTGCCCAGACTTCTGGGTGAGGAAACCAGACCACCCCAATTTACCTTACAACATTTTAAGAGATTTAGAGACCTGCCTTATAAAGGTATATAATTAATATATATATTTATATATTTATTGTATTTACTTTTTTCTTACGTAGTTTGGCTTTCCTTTCCAATTTAGTTTTACTTAACCTTCCTCTTTAAGTTAAAATGTAAAAATTCTAGTTATCTCTTTGTCACCCTCCCTCTCCCTCTCCCTTTTTCTTGTTCTCCCTCCCTCCCTGCTCCTAGTTCCCATCAACTGCGTACTTGAATGTTTCAAGTATAGACATAATTTTCCAGTGGCCTGCCACGCCATTACACTCTCCATTATTCTTTCACTTTTCACCATTCTCCTTTCCTTTCTTACCCTACCCTTATCAAAGTTTGTTCCAGGACAGCAACAATGTTATCTGTTGGCTCAGGGTTTGAATTCTGTAGCCAGACCATGTGGGCTTAAACCCTAATGTCAGTGAAGATTTCTGAACAAATGATATTACCTGCTTTCTAAAAAAAGTTTCCTGTTCTGAAGAAATTAAGTGGAGGTGATAGGTAATGAGATTCTTGCCTTCTAGCGCTGTGGTGAAGAGATGAGGTAAAGGCTGAGGTCCTGTCTCTCACACAGTAGATGCTTAACCTCCTGATGGGCTGTTCCCTTCCCATGGTAACCGACCAAACTGGTGCTGAGCCTCAGTGGCTCACACTGAAAGAGGGTCTCTGGAATAACGACATGGGGTTTTTATTTGGAGGATTTCTGCCTTTCAGCCTATATGGTCCCAAAGTTGACATTGCTTCCTGAGCTCAACCATTGGTGAAATGAGGACACCACTTTGTTTTAAGATCCATGGACAACAGAGTGACATGTATTCAGAAATAACTGTATTTAGTCATGGTGTCAACCAGAAACTTGTTATGGCAGAATTTAGGAATGATGTAAAAATGCACTGGAATCTCACGGACACATATTTTCCGGGAAGTCCCAAGATTGCATTATCCATTAGAAAGCTTGGGGCTCTCCAAGTTCAAGGGAACGTGGTTAACATTTATAACATCTGCCAGTTCCCTCTCTCACTCTGTCTTTTCTTCTCTTCTCCCCATTGCCCAGACCTCTACTGTCTTAATCTACTTTCTACTGATAGTTTGTTGATTGTTTTTTGGTAGTTTTGCTGTCATTTCCTGCTTTCCATTTTTATAGTTATCCTTTGATCAAATGCCCTATCCTTTTATATCTCTCTGAGTGGGTTAAGATAAGAGTCTTGGCTAAGTTCAGTCAAGCAACACTTGTTTTCAGCTCCCTGATCAATTCTGACCTCATGAGATCTATAGCTTCACCCCTAAGTGTAACAAATTGCTTTGTAGGTCCAGGAAACTTGGTCTTTGAACTTTACTTTCAAGCAGTTGTCATGCCCATATATCACCTCTACTATAATTTATTTTTTCTTTAACTTCAACCACTTTCTTAAGTTAAAATAATAATTTGCTTAAATGTCCACTACTAAGTGGTAACACTTAACTAGTACCTTTTATCTGCTAGTTATGTAAACTAAATTCCCACCTTTTGTTATAAAAGTGCATGTGTGTGCATGTAGAGGGGAAGAGGTATATCCCCATATGGAAGTGAGCCAGATATGACCTTTTCTACCCTTTTTTCTGACTCAGAACACTATGTCCTGTCTGAGGAGTGTCATCCTTATTGGGCCTGAACACGTCCTTCATGGCGAGAGGCAACGTTTCTCCTGCATAGCTGGGCTCCTGAGTGGAATGTTTTTTCTTTGCTCTCAGCCTAAACAAACTTGCCTGCCTTTGACCTTAGTTTCTGGCTCAAAGCATCTCCTAACAAGTCTACACTTTCCAGCAATTTCAGTGTGTCTATGAACATCTTTCCCTCTCTCCTCAATCCTCTCTGCTCTATAAAGGTTAAGAAGGAGCTAATTCTAGGTAGGAGATGTAGCTTGCCAGTTGCAGGGCCTTTTAAATCAGAAATGCCTGAGGGCTCCCACATCAGGTGGGAGGGAGGGATGGGAAGACCTTGGACAACAAAGAGGAGAAAGGGCAGGAGAGAGTGGGGTGCACAGAAAAGGGCAGTTGTTCTAGTGTATGTGCTGTTATCCTTGTTGTTGAGTTGCTCCCATAGGCTGTCAATATTGAGAACACCTGAGAAGGAAGAATTGGAGAGTAAACTTTCCTTAACTTCTTAAAAGTAACCAAAGCTAGAAGCTTACTTCTCCATCCAATTAAGTTAAAAAAACAACTGGTTTAAACCTATGAGAAATTAGTAAAGTGTCTAATACATATCCCAGGACCTCTCTGGATTGCCTTAAGTTATTTATTGAGCATTATTTCTGACGAGATTGAAGGAGCAAGCCAGAAACTTTCTTTAAATAGAATAGAACCTTACATGCTTTTCTAACCTCTTTAATTATCACTTCTCTAAGAAATGGACCTCTGGGGACAAGTCTACTCATCAGAACATACCAGTATTTCAAGGGAGGATGGGGCAGCAGCTTGGAAAAGCACATTCAAAATTACTTCTAGCCACAGTGAATCCTGCTCCATAAATTCTAAAGAGCAGGAAATATTCATATTTTTCTTCCCCTTAAATCAACTTAAGGCCCTCTACAAACCCTTGTTTTGCTGCTGCAGTGGGTGGTCCAGTTCATCACTGTCGCCTATATGCACACACCACGCAGCAGCAATGTTCCAAAATTGCCATCTTATATGGAACAAAAAATTAAGGAAGGTCTGCAAGATCTGAACTACCTTCTGGAAAGAGGACAGAAAAATATGCTGGGCAAACAAAACTTCAAGTTCATTTTTAAGCTAGTTTTTCCATCATCTAATTGCCTATTTGGATCTGTCCCCCTAAAAAACCTATCATTATAATATGAACAGCAGAAAAATGTATAAATTTTTGGCTACAAGGTGGCTTGAAAAGTGCAAGAGGAGGTTTTCTAAACCTAGAAACCAGGAAACTCAGGACTTGAAGTTACTGAAATAACTCCTTTCATCTAAACCTTACCCAGTTACTGCAGGGGATTTAAATTTACCACTGGGCGTGGTGGGCTTTCTCGAATGAATATGAATTTTTGGGAAACAAAAGCTCTTAAATGAACCAAAAGCACAAAGAGAACTTTTTTGGAGCTTTCCTTTCTGAATGGAATTTCTCTTTCTACCTTAGTGTGAATGTTGGTTTATTTTCTTTCTTCTGAATCCCTCTGCTCTTTCCATTTGCCTTGTTCTTGGGGACTTTCATTTATCCTAATCAATACAGACATACTCTATCAATTACTCTAACTAGTCATTCTATATTTTTTGTGTGAAATCTTATAGCCTGTGTCTTCAGGCAGCTTCTATTTTCTGCTATCCAAAGATTTATGGGGCAATGGAAAGATGCCAATTTGAAATCTTCATAGAATAGCTTAAATTAATATTCAATCAATTATTGTCATTTTAGAAACAATCCAATAAGTTTTAGTCATTTTACATAGAGGTGAACACTTAATAAATAATAACATATTGTAATGTTCATTTTTAGCTAGGCTCACATAACATCTACATTTCCCCTCCTTGGACTGGTTTAGCTAAAGATGGTTTTCTTTTTGGTGGATTTGAAAAAAATGTTTCCATCCCTTCTCAACTCCCCTCCACTTCCCAAATTAAAAGAAAAAAGCCCTAAACTTGGGTTATGCCAACTATAGTCCCTCCATGATATACCTACTCTACCCAGAGGCTAAACCGTGGGAGGGTGTAGTAGACTGAGGTTTGGGTTCACGGACTATCTGAAGATGTGGCTGAGGTTCAGC